CCTCAATAAGCCAACATTTTGTACTTGAACATGGAGTCAAATGATGAAAAACAGGTGCATATTAACAATGGAATGAAACAAAGTTCCTGTGTGTTGGCTAAATCTCAGTAGATAATTACGACCCATTGATTTTAAAGATCTGATTTCAGTCTTGGTACAATAAGGAGGTGCACATAGAACTCAAAACTGTAGAAGTTGACCGCAGAAAAATAATAAAAATGAGATGCTGAGTCGTCAACTATCAACATATGTTAGTCGAAAACTGATTTCTATCAATTACTTAGCTGGAATATATTTTTAGTACACTCAAAATATTTCTTAAAATCATTTTGAAAAGAGGCTTCAAGACAATGAAAGCAGATTTTTGTAACTGAACAGTCTTTTCAGATTAACTTCCATTACATGTCTACATGGCTTAACAACTGAGTCATGAAATCCTCAACAAAGTGCTTGGCAACTCATTGAGTTTCATTAACAAGTGAAAAATGGATTGACGAGTTACCATCCCAAAAATTGCGTCGTACGTATTACGCAATGTAAGTAAAAGCATTGACAAAGTACATAAGTTGCTTCCCGGTAAAATCAGCCTGAGAACACATTTAACACTTGTGCAGCATTCAGTTAAGTCGAAAAAGATGACACAGATTAGGAAAACATCACATTAACCATAATATTGTCTTACTTTGGAGAAACAAATGCCAAAAATTACCTTTTCTGAGTGCTTTATGATCATCTTGTCGTGGTCAGATGACAATCCATTGATTCAGGGGTGTAAGAGAGCCGTTTTTACCCAAAAAATAACCAGAAATTTTTACAGGTTTGTAGTGACCTACTTTTATGTCGCCAACGAATATATCTTACTACAGCCGTCAACGGCCTTCTGGTTTTTGACCTACGGAGGGATCCAACCTAATACCTGGCACGTAATCTTCCTGTAGTGGTGATCTCCCTACTAGTAGGGTTAATAAGTAGCATGATAATATTAGATGAATAAGTGATTTACTTAGTACATTAATTTTTGTGTTTATTGAACATAATAGCTAGTTAAAATGTATAAAAAATGCGCAATGTGACAACTGTAGCTGTTTCTGATATGACTGTAACAAAATTATGCTCATATGTATTGATTATCTATTCCAGAAGTTTTAGTACATTTCCTACTGAAGTTCGATTTCTAAAACTAACTTTAAATTCCAATTCTTCGTAATATCACCGGCTAGTCGTTTTAGAATTCTTACAACCTAACAAAATACGTCCGAAAGTTTCGTTGCTTCATCCAGGCACTTTAAAAGTTATGCAGGAACACATACTAAAAATCAATACATTTGTTATTAATCTCAAGGTATTACTTTATCTTGAACATAATAAGCATCGTTATTTAATGTGTAAATCCCATAGTTATAGATTTCGCCTAATTAGCTGATGTCGAGTATTATATTCAGACGTGAGTTGAAAATTATAGTCTAAGAATCGCCAATGAGGTTATACAATAGTCTTTGATTAAACCGTGCTCTCATGTCAATGAACTCATTTAACGGCTGACAATAAGATGGAGATTATTACCAAAATATAGTAAAATGACTAACCAATTACCATAACATATAGTGACTAATTTGGATTGATGTGCTTTGAATATATATATGCTACTATTTTTAACACTGGAACCCGTTTTTAAGCACTTTTAGTAGTTCGGAAAGTCCATATTCTTACACCAATGCAAAATTTTCCTAACCGTATATTATTCAAACAAAACCCACTTTACTCTGCATGTTTTCGTCCCAACAAGACATCCCTTAATCCCTCTTTTTCAGTGAATGCATGTACAACTGACCTATTGTCCTAAATCGTATATTACAGGAATTCGGAAAAACGAATAATTCAAATGATATAACTACATTTTATGATTTACATGACCTTTTTATTGAGTATTTTAGATTCATTTAGTTCTAACAGCTTTGAAATACTTATGAAGAATTATCTTTTTATTCGTTGATAAAACCTAGTTGATATATATATATATATATATATATATATTATTTGGATATCTCCTTAGTTGTTTAGGGCCGCAGTTAATCAGTCTTATTTTTGGCATATGTGCATTCTATGCGCATTCCTTGATATTCCTATTAAGTCACAAGCATTTCAAGAAGAGGTGGCGCAAGAGATGCGCGTTTCGTCTAATTCGAGACTCAATGGCTAAGTCGATAACGCGTTCGCGTTTGAAGGGAATGGACTGGTTTCGGGTCTCGGAGTGAACATCAACCCTTAAATACAAGTACTTCTAGCTGACGAGTCTCAAACAGGGCGGAACGCATGTCCTAAATTCCACTAATAGCAACGAACCATCTCTGCTTAAATATCTATAAATTTGTCTAGCTTGTATACTAGTGTCACACATGTTCCGAAAAATGACTACTAACCTTCGAATTATCTTCATATGGGTGATCATATTACCCGGAAAACTGTTATATAACAAATACTATGCATTAAGCGAGGTTAATTATACTAAACTCTAGACTATCGTCAATAACTACATCCTAAGCAACTATAGTTCGATTTTAATTTTCACCACTAAACGAAACAATAGATGACGTCTTGGTCTTAATTAATCTTCTTAGATCTATCACTATCCTATTTGGATCATTAATTTGTATAAACAGTGTCTTTTGTCTAGACTTCGAATGTCACGAGTGATTAAAATACTTATTATTCCAATTCGGTTATCTCACTACAAGGCTACTTTTGCATACATATACGTCATCGTAATCTGTGGACAAATTATATTTCAGATGCCTTGAAAAGATTCCGTGCCTTATATTACTGATAGGTATAAACTAATGCGAGTATTACAAGATACTTTATGGGTGGTAATAATGTATACATAAATGTTGAGACTACAGGGGGAATGTTTAACTTATTACATCTAAAACTGGTCTGTCAAACTGAAGGTCTTCTATGTCGAGATTGAGAAAAATCAGCATTTGACCGGCTTGTTATTGTAGTAATTCAGTTCGTGTTACTGGTTTTCCACACTTGTAATCCTTTCACATTTCGCAAAGATTTTTATGTTGACTTTTAGCCACATGGCCCAAACCTATCTTATTTGGTACTATATATACGGTAATGTTTAATCATGTAGTCATAAAACCTCTCCTGATTTTGGTTTTCCCTTCAATGGGTTGTCGACCATGACGTATTGCTTTGGTTTATTCGTCTGGCCTATCTAGTTCGAGCAGATCCCATTCTTATTAGGAGAATCTCTTAATCGTTCGTACTTTTGGGATAATCCTATATATTTCTCAAATTATAACACCATACAAACTAATAGTATTTAGTCTTTCGTTTAAGTTCTTGGGGTAAATTACCTGATCTTGGTCCTAGAACAATGACATTTACACGTACTTTCTGACTAATTTCGAACCACATCTGAGAGAGATCACTGGCCATGAAGTTTTAACCAAGTGATACTTGCGGTTAACTTGACTGCAAACATCGGGACGATATAGCTATCCTCATTTACACTGACCATGATTATGAAGAATACATATATTAAAAGTAAACCTTAACTCAACACTACTTCCTCTATTCTATCACAAAAGCAGTAGCTACAATTTTGCTGAACGACGTAAACATACTTTTTTACCACAGTTATTATCTTAAGTTCATGAAACGAAGTGTTTTATAACCCACAATCCTCTTATTTGGATTTGATTTTCGTATTCATTACACATTTTTGATTAGTGTTTAGTTATTTAAGCCTAATGCACTGACCTTGGATTTAGGCAGACTTAAACTAACCGACCGATGGTCGTTTATTAATGGAGATTCTATGTATACATTTGCTTCTCCGACAAAATGAGTAAAAGACCACCCACTCTCTTTTATTACTTTTTCACCAGGTCTGATTTTATCTAAGATAACAAATAAGGTTCGATTCAATAATGTAGCTCGGATAAGGCAAATACACCAGAAGTATCTACTGAAGGTAGGAATTTTCGCGATCACGTTACTATGATACTTAAAGTAACACTCGTTTATTATTAATGGACTAATTTTTAACCCGGGCATCTTGTTATCTATCAGTAGTATGCGGATAACATGGTCCAGTTTCTTAAAAATGTTGACAATAGCCAATACTATAACATCTTGAAAAACAATGAGAATTTTTGGAATGCGTAAATTCAAAGTGTTGTTTTACGATTAGTTTATTTCATTTTCTACTTTGAAGACAAACAAATAAGTTTTCCATTTCCACTCGTGGGAGGAACTTGAGTGCGTCAACTATCAAACCAATACTACTACTTAACGAAATTTAGAGTTAATCACCTTTTGGAGGGATCAATAAATATTTATTTATTTATTTAAACACATAACTATTGGTACAAGGAAGCACCAGATATATATGCGCCTCACAAATCTCATTCGATTTGCTTGAGGGCTGTGATACTGCCCAGGTGCCCAGACTGAAGCAGGTGACTTTCTTAGGAGGCCACACCCGGAGCCTTTGAACTGAAGGTCTACTCCACAAGGCAGTGGAGCATCGTGAGGAGATGCAATCCCATGGTAGCCGGTGATAAATGATTGATTCGTACGCCATTTGTTCCCTCAGGACACTGGAGCCCATATGCACCATTGGTTTGGAATCAGGATTTTCCAAATCCCCTAGGTGGACTCGCCTTGTCCACCAACCCGGTTAAAACGCCGGACATTCGCTTTTCGTCCTCTCAATTTCGTAAACAACTGTAATGCCACGAGAAGGCAGTGAGTAGGACTTCCGTGGCAGAGGCTATATATTTGCTGGCCATGTGAGAGCATTTCGAGAGGGAGAGGTGACTCTCCCCACTCTCGGCCGTACCAGGGCATTTGGGGGCGATCAATAAACATTGACTTTTAGGTCAACGAATTCGCAGCATATGGTAGTGGTACTATTACAACTACTAAGTAGTTTATTTTATCCAACTTTACCAAGGAATCCACTGCACATTCAACCACAAGTAGATAAAAGAACTAACGTAAAGTTTATGACTAACACTAGGTATTTATTTACAAAATTCTTACCGACCAGAAAAAGTTACGGAATATTATCAATGCAATCACAAAGGAATGACATAAACAGTAGAGATCATTTTGTCCATGCCAAGCAAACGAACAGGAGTTTAGTTTATAATGTTCCATTTACGCCCTAAAAAAAGAAACAGCATTGAGACACAAAAACTGTTTAATCTTTATGTAGACTAGAATAAAACAAGGGTAATATATCCACGGCAACCTAACGCTAATATGTACTAAGTTTTTACGCTTACATCCACAGAAAATTAACGACGAAACCAAATAGCCGTAATTTATATATATATATATATATATATATATATATATATATATCAATACAAAACTAGAAGCCAAGAAATGTATGGAAACTAAGAGATAGTGGTAGCCTTTAGACCTAGTAAACAACTAGAGCAAGTAAGTCACTTTGACTGAATTCGGATCAAATCTAAACTCTTGCGGTAAATAAGTACACAAGCACGTACAAAAATATGCGTATGCAGGATGAGAAACAATGAAATAATTTATGTGATTATACTACCCACCAAAACACCTATCAGCAGTTTAAGCACATACGTTGACATCGGAGAAACACTAACTTGGAACCAGATTATTCGAAAAAGGTTACTTGAAAAAACGATATATGGTACCACGTAAGCCATTCTAGTACACAGGGGAACTTTCTCATAGTGAACCAGCAAACTGTAGTTTATATTTACATATTTTAACGAAATAGGATTCACGATTTAAAGTTTTGATTAGAACACTAGACCAGTTGGGCTACAATAAAATAAAACTCGGTCAAATATTGAGCGAGTGCGCGCTATTTAAAAAGGACAGTGGTATTTTTCCTCGTTGAGTAAATTATATTGTTTTGATCGTTATTAACATATCAAGACTACTGTTTTTATACTTTGATTGAATTTTTTTCAGTTAAAGTATTCTATTAGAGTATCATCTTTGGTATCCTAAATAGTTTTATCGTCGGTACTCCAGAGTACCTTTTTTTTCCATTGTGTCTGTTAGTACTTTGGTCCTAACTGTTTATAGTTTTTTTTCTACTTGTAGTCAACACTCACTTTCGCATCCTAAAATGACTGGAAGATGCAACAAAAGCATTTGCCACCGCCCAGGATGTCGATATCCTGTTGATGGCGGCATGCAGTGCGATGAGTGCAAAGGTTGGTACCACGATGTTTGCACGAATCTAACATCTGCAGCTTTCAAGCGGTTCAGTAAAAATGGGTGTGTATGGCTATGTCAACAGTGCTGTTTGGATGCAAATAGCCTGCTAACCGAGGCCATTTCAATAGTAAATGCCGCAAAAAAGTGTCTCGGCAAGCGCGGTCGGGATACATCAGTCAGAACTCAATCTGTCGACACGCAGATTGACACAAGGCAGGTCCAAGTGAGTCCAAAAACTGCCAACCCACACTCTACTAAGGAGGAAGAACATCCTCCAAAGAGGACTGTTACAACCAGAAACTCGCGCGAAAAAGTCTCTTCTGTCCCTCGTGTCAAAAATGGTACCCAGAAGGAAACTTCAGGAAGCCGAAACCGCAAGGCTCGATCGGTTTCCGGCGCGAAAGATGACCCAATCTCCCAAGTCGTCCTGACTCTTCCGGAATCCCACAGTACGCCTGACGCGAATGTGGTTACCACTCCAAAGAACGTTGGCGATTGGGTACGGGTCGTAAGAAAAAAACGCCAAAATGACGTAAAAGGAAATCATACCCCCACCAAAAGGGTCGACAAGCCGAGGTCTGATCACAGCGACAGATCAGTCATTCTCCATAGAGTCAAGGAGAGTGACAACTTAGAACCGAAAGCTCGTTTTGAGCATGCCATTGTGTTGATAAGACAACTACTCAACCAAGTTATGCCCAAAAACATCCCCGGAGTCACCTTGCTAAAGGTGTATAGACTAGGAAATCTAGCGCATCTGAAACCAAATCAGTCTAGACTACTCAAAGTCGTTTTCAAATCCTCAAACGAACGCGACTTAATCTTAGAAAATGGACACAAATTGAAGGGTTCAGGAGTTTTTCTCCGTAAGGACTTACCGTTGGCGGACCGTGTTAAAAAACGGGAAGCCGAAAAGGAACTACAGCTCAGATTAGACGCTGGCGAAAAAGACCTGAAAATTGTAAATTTTCGGGTTGTGAGGCTTCGACAGAGGATGATGCCGAAGCCACTCTGGATGAAGCACGAGGCCACCTAAATAGGCTTCGGATCTGTTATACCAATGCCCGGAGCTTACTAAATAAGCTACCGGAACTAGGTGTACAGATTGACTCAACTAGGCCAGACATAATCGCAGTCACAGAAACATGGCTGACGCCGTCTATAGATAGTAGGGAACTTGATTTCGAGGGTTTTACATTGGTAAGGGCCGATAGAATACAAACGCGTAAAGGAGGGGGAGTAGCTCTATTCATTAGGAATGCTATTCCATTCACCATTATCGACAGTGTATCCCATGAGAGTGGGACGTATGAATTAGTTTGCTGCCGCCTGAAATGCAGGGGACAAGAGTTGCTACTTAGTTTGATCTATCGCAGTCCAAGCTGTGAGGCAAACGAGGTCCTGCTAAGCAGTCTCAACACTTTATTACGAAGTGATCGATGTCTAATCCTAGGGGACTTTAATGCACCCATGGTGGACTGGGGAAACCTGCGGACTGAATCGTCAGCAAACTCCTTCGAACAGGAACTAGTTGATGCGGTAATCACATGTGCCCTAGTGCAACACGTGAAGGAAGCAACTAGGTACGACCCGGGTTCTGCATCATCCTTACTAGATCTTATATTGACTCATTATGAGGATGATGTTGCAAACCTGGATTACATGCCACCCCTAGGCAAAAGTGATCATGCAGTTTTAAGCTTTGACTTCCATATAACTGTCGATCACGAGTACGCTTCAGCTCAATCCAGACCTAACGTCTGGAAAGCAAACATAGCAGACATCATGAAATCAGCATCATTAGTAGATTGGAAATTAGACCCAGAGTCATCAATCGAAACGGCTTGGGACGTATTCCGGAATTTATACTTAAAAGTTACCACCCCCCACATCCCTTGGACTACACCTAAGAGACCGAGAAACTCCTCACCGTGGTTCATTAGGGAGGTTCGCATCCTTCTCCGTAAAAGAAGGAAAATTTGGGACAGATTTATTTATTATTTATTTATTTAAACACATAAATATTGGTACAATGAAGCACCAGATAAATATGCGCCTCACAAATCTCATTCGATTTGTGTGAGGGCTGTGATACTGCCCAGGTGCCCAGACTGAAGCAGGTGGTTTTCTTAGGGGGCCACACCCGGAGCCTTTGACCTGAATGTCTAATCCACAAGGCAGTGGAGCATCGTGAGGAGATGCAGTCCCATGGTAGCCGTTGACCAATGACAGGTTCGTCCGCCATTCGTTCCATCAGGATACTGGAGCCCATGTGCACCATTGGTTTGGAATCAGGGTTTTCCAACTCCCCTAGGTGGACCCTCCGTGTCCACCAACCCGGTTAAAACGCCGGACATTCGCTTTTCGTCCTCTCAATTTCGTAAACAACTGTATGCCACGAGAAGGCAGTGAGTAGGACTTCCCTGGCAGAGGCTATATATTCGCTGGCCATATGAGAGTATTTCGAGAGGGAGAGGTGACTCTCCCCACTCTCGGCCGTACCAGGGCATTTGGGGGTAGTTGTCGATTCAAATCCCATAGTGGTAGAAGTAGTAAAAGTATAAGTATTATGTGAAAGATCACGGTTTGAAGATGTTATTCAAGGAGTATAATCCAGTGAAATAAATTTGGAAAGAGAAAAAAGATAGGGACATGAAGAATTCAGAAGATTAGAATTTGGTAGAACACAAAGAGTGGATGCACCTTCGCCATTGCAAACGATTTTGAGCCATGTCATTCAAGGTCTCTAAACATTTATTGCTTTTATACGAATATTCGTCAAGATTAGAACGAATAGTTTGACAATAATTGGGCGCCGAGTATAGAGAATTCATTATATGTGAAAAAATTATATTTGAAATAGTCTCAGCGATTGAAATTTAAATAATTCCAACGTTTCGTCCAGCTAACTTGTCTGGACTTCTTCAGGGAAATAATCAAAATCAGATTTAGGTTACTGGGGACTGACGAGGCAAAATCTCAGTATCAAAAGGCTCGAAATACCTGTGCCTCGACCCTTCGTAAGGCCAGAAAGCTGTACGAAGAGAAAATCGTTAGGGAATCCATAGAATGCCCTAAACGCTTGTATTCGTATATAAACCAAAGGACAAAAAGAAGAAGAAATGTTCCTTCACTATGGGGAGACAGTACTGCCACATCACTAGTGGAGGATGACTTTGGCAAAGCTCAAGTATTCTCTAAATACTTTAGCGATGTATACACCATAGAAACACCCTTCTCACCAGTCCATGAAAATCCACCCACACAAGCACTGGACAGCGTAACCATTAAAGAACTCGATGTCTTTGGTCTGCTAGTTAAGCTTGACATAGGTAAATCCACTGGACCCGATGAACTGCATCCTAGGTTATTAAAGGAATTAGCTAACTTTGTTGCGAACCCTTTAAGGGTATGTTTTAATCTATCCGTAACCCAGGGTCGCCTACCAAAAGACTGGAAGAACGCCATAGTAAGTCCAGTCTTCAAAACAGGTACAAAACATAAGCCTGAGAATTACCGACCAATTAGCCTAACTAGTGTGGTTGTTAAAATCTTAGAAAAGATTATTCGGAAGGAACTGTTAAAGTATCTCGATGAAAACCGGATCCTCTCCGAAAAGCAGCATGGTTTTAGAACAGGTTACTCTTGTCTCACAAACTTATTAGTCGCTCGTGAAAGCTGGTGCGCTCTTAAGGACCAAAAATTACCTATAGGCGTAGCTTACATCGATTTCAGCAAAGCTTTCGACAAAGTTCCGCATAACCGGCTGTTATATAAGCTAAAGAATGTCGGGATTGGAGGCAATCTATTGATGTGGATAAAAGACTTCCTAGTTGGGCGTCAACAAAGAGTAAGGGTGAACTCCAAGTTGTCTAGCAGGGAAACTGTGCTTAGTGGAGTCCCCCAGGGTACAGTTTTGGGGCCAGTGTTATTCCTCCTGTACGTAAATGATCTCCCTCGTCTACTATCGTCATCGGTCTTACTCTATGCTGATGATGTCAAGATATGGAGAGCGATACAAAGCAAGGGCGATAGCTTAGAACTTCAAAATGACCTGGAGAGATTATCTGAATGGTCCCAAACCTGGCAATTGCCGATAAACACTTCCAAGTGTACTGTGATGCATATTGGCCATCAGGGTACAGATACATACACGATGAATAACACTGAGTTACCTATTGTTCAGGCACACAACGACTTAGGTGTCATCGTCAGTCAAGACTTAAAGACTACTGCACACTGCCGTGCAATAGCCGCCAAGGGTTTTAGAACTTTAAGGTCCATACGCAGGGCTTTTAGGCATCTTGATGCTAAAACGTTTTTGACTTTGTATACAGTGTTCGTACGCCCTAAACTTGAGTACTGTATACAAGCAGCTAACCCCTGCCTAAAAAAGACAGTGAACTCTTGGAAAGGGTTCAGAGAACAGCAACTAGGCTGATTCCCGGAATAGCGAAGCTCCCGTATGGTACTAGACTGACCAAGCTAAACCTATTCCCGCTGTCATATAGAAGAATCAGAGGCGACTTGAATACAGTTTTCAAATTGCTTAATGACAAATTTGCACCTGATATGCCCTCATTTTTCTTGTCTTCCAAAACAGAAAATCTACGAGGACACTCCAAAAAAGTTCACAAGCCCAGAACGAATTACTTGTCAGCTGACTACCGACTTTCCCATCGAATAATCAACGAGTGGAATTCATTACCTCAGTACGTGGTTGAGGCTCCATCCGTCGACTCCTTCAAAAGAAAGTTGGATCAGCTGAGAGACCATCATTGCCAGGACTAACACAGGCCATCAAGCCTCCTGTCCTTTCCAAACTGAAACTGAGTAGTGGGCCTAATTTCTTTGCTTTAATCAGACCAACCAAATACAATTTATGTCCCGCTCGACTGTAAAGGGAGCTTTTCTGAATAAGTATTTTGAATCAAGTGGCTTCTGATTATATATTATTGGTGTTTTAACCACAGCAGTTTAAATCAACAAAAGTTAGCTGGTTACTCGACAATTGCATTTGCTAATGACATGGTATCAGGTTTATGCTTTTACTATTAGAATTTCCAATGACCTACTTGAATAGAATTTACCAAATTGTGCGACCTCCGATGATATTAGTGTACCTAGGGTTAAATGAGAAGGGAATACAGCTTGACTTACATAGAAATACTGTCAGGTACAAGGCTGGGTTTAGGAGATGCATAGTCCTGTAGAGACAGTGGTAGAACAGGAAGAGCTATATGACACTCTATGTTAACAGGTTCGTCTCTGTTTCTTCAGGAAAATTAACGTAATGAGAATATTACTGAAGAATTACATTTGTATTTGAAAATTCTCTTCTTCATTCAAAATCGACGCTACCTCGCAGACTATCGAGCACGGCTTAGTCACTACTGAAGCGTACTCGACTGGAAGCGAACTCAAAGGTTCTACTTGCACACAGCATGCTGTGAGAGAGTTAAAATGACGAGCGTCAGTGAATTTTGGCTGGGCTACAAGATAATATTTTCATGCATGTACGATTACCTAGAGCAGACAAACTTCGACATTTTCCCTTCATGGGTGACTTTTTCACACATGTGACTCGACTAAAGCTTTCTGAAGGTGAAAATGACCTATCCTGAGCAGTGAACCCATATCTCACCATAACCGTTAGGATCTCAAATATTCCGCCATGGTCCAAGGGCGAAAGTTCAAGAGGCCTGAACTGGAATGGTTAACGGTTTTTATGAAATGAAGTGTGTGTGAAACAGTATGAATGTAGTAGTAAAGAAACCATCAAAATGGATAGCTCCGTAATTCTACCACACTTGATGCTGACCTCATTAGTATTAACGGACACTCATAGCTGAAGGCGTTCCGTCACGCATCCCTACCAGATCACGAGTGGGTACATCGTGCTGCACATCTCTTGCAACTATCAGTCAACTTAAACCAAACATATCTCGATATTTTGATAACCTAAATGTATCTTCAAACCACTTCGTTTCTGACTTTTGAATTGACTAGTTTAGCATACGTCCATTAATAATGTGTTACGTGTAAAGACGTTGTCAAGCTATTATAAAGCAGTCATCTACGTATGTGTGGATGTGGATGACTGGGAAATCCAGGGTGACCTTCTCGTTGATTTTCAGATGGTGGATTCTTTGAGTATCAATAGTGTGTCCGAGAAAATGTGGAAGGTTGGTTTCTAATTGACATTCCTGAATGTTTACAGTGATGCCCTGTTTTAGCGGTCACTCGAAAATAAGGTACAGATGCTCCAGCTGAGATTCTTTGTTCGAAATTGCAATCAAGCTGTCATCTACGTGTATGTGTACGTAGTTGACACCTCGAAAGACATCATCGATGAATGGCTGGAAATTCTGTGCACCATATCGCTGACCCGAAAGTGATGCTCAAAAATTCGTAGAGTCAGAATGGCGGTGATGATAGTGGCATAAGTAATATAGTTTGAAGCCATGGTAATTTGTTCAAACGCTTTGACTTGACTGATTTTAGAAAAAAAACAGTTGAACCTTTTCTTTCCACTTGTCGTCAGGTCAAAGATGTACCCAAGTAGTAACAATCAAGAGTGGTTTCCGTATTCAGTAGCCGAATATCACCAGATAGACCCCAATTTTTGTTATCCTTTTAAAAGGCTATGTGCATGGGAGATGCCAGATAATTTCAAAGTCTATCATGTGGTTGCATTCGCTTTTGGTCAACCTTGACTTCCCGGTAGCTAGGTGGCATCCTTTAGAAAATACAGATGGTTCTGTAGCCACGACGTAGTGTGTAATATTGCTAAATGCTAACAGTAACTTTGGTTGCGTTTGGAACAGTTAAGGGTACTTATAGAGTATTCGTTTATACAATGGGCTGACCACGTGCTTAACAGCTACTACAACTAGAAATCAAAGTTCCACAAGCAGATAATTTATTGTCGTTGTCTACTAACCCCGTTCGCTCGGGTCGATTAGCAGATTATGGTGTTGTAGTGGGTTTATGTCAATGATTGACATTAAGAGAACGAGGAATATCAAAGAATCCGCAACTTCCTTCTATGTTGTTTGTGGCTATTATTTGACCGAATAAACCTCGGAGCTATGGTTATGTTAGTCTCAAGAATCCGGTCGGTAGATGAAGCCGATTGGTCTGAATCGTTATTTTGAAATGACATCAAAACCTCCAGAAACATTTGGGAAGCTTATATATGAAGAGCCTCGTCGAAGGTCCGTTGGCCAATGACTTTCTCATGAGTAGTAACATTTCTCTTACTGAGCCACTTTGCAACTCAGTGTTGAAGAAAACCTGGTCTAACCTTTGTCGGTCGACTATGTCCCCACGTTCAAGGATAGCCTTCCTTGAAGTGTCGTGAGGTTCATAAACGTCATCAGTGAATATACCAGGTGTGAAGTGCCCGGTAAAATAGCGCAGCAGTTCCCTCACTAATGCGATTAAAGATACGATTAGTATTCTAGTTTTACAACTAGCGACCAGTAGCACCTTCTATATGCGAAGCTCTTTCCGCCCAATGGAAATCAGAAGTCAGACGAGAAGAGGTAGGAAAGATATATTTGATACGTTACCAATATATCGTGGGTGCGCACTGCTGAGGAGTCCCATAATAGAACGAAACGGCCGTCCAGTGTTTCCAGGTTTTCCGTGGTGGTCTAGCTTAAATTGACTCATGCTTTCAACTATGAAAAATACTAAATCTCCACAAAACCCCTTCTAATATCGAGAAGCGTTTGTCCTTAGCTAGCTAGTGAACATAGGAGCTGTGTCGCGCCCCGAGTCGAAACGTGATCTGGTACGGATGCATGACCAAAAGCCTTCACTTGAACAAGTTCACTTAGCAACGTGGTCAGAACCCAATGTCGAACACTTAGAAAGCTATTGATTTTGGGGAAGTACTTACAGCTACACGATGATCCATGCGCATGGTTCTGTCACATCGTGCTCTTAGAAGTCAGCTTCTGAGTAGAAAAATCGAGCTTCAATATCATCAGCCGAAATGGCATAAGTTTAAAAGTGGGAAGAGAAAAAGTCCTAATTTCAGACAACTTTGGCCTCTGTTTCGTCATAATGAAGGTAAGATATACAAATTTGCGGGAAAAATATACGAAAATGTAAGAACATAATCATATAGTGCGAAAATAACAATTCAAGAATGATAACTGAAATTTCAAAAAGAAGCAGAGTCGCAGTTTGTCGTTGCGTGTACCAGACCATGTCATGCTCACCACTAAAGATACCGCAGGTGTTCGCAGTTTGACCTCTTTACACGTAACACATTATTAATGGACGTATGCTAAACTAGTCAATTCAAAAGTCAGAAACGAAGTGGTTTGAAGATACATTTAGGTTATCAAAATATCGAGATATGTTTGGTTTAAGTTGACTGATAGTTGCAAGAGATGTGCAGCACGATGTACCCACTCGTGATCTGGTAGGGATGCGTGACGGAACGCCTTCAGCTATGAGTGTCCGTTAATACTAATGAGGTCAGCATCAAGTGTGGTAGAATTACGGAGCTATCCATTTTGATGGTTTATTCACCAATACATAATGGCAGTTGGAATATACTAACATTCGGCATTTCAAACTGTACTGACGAGACGAGTTTACATAAGTGTTTTCAAGAAATTATTTTGGATGTGTATGTTGTCACGACTAGGTAATTCGTCACTCTTTATTCGAATTTCGACATCAGATAACTAAATGTCAGAATATACTGCAGTATCATTTCCAACGGATTTGGGAATTTTTACTGTGTGAGTTTAGTAAGGGTCAGTTTCCTAAAATGAATATGAGTCCTGCCTGTGACAGGCTGGGCAATCTTTTCTAAGAAATCACTAAAGCGTCTACGCCTTACGTTGAGGACTTATTTGAAAACTATAAGAACCATCGAAAACATCCGCAACGTAATCATGCAGCTATATTTTGAACTTAGGGTGAAGGCTTGGGAAAATCATATTGGTCCAAATAAAACCAATGACAGAGAATATTAGAAACAATCGAGAATCGTGAATTCCATGAAGTTACAGTATGTTAATAAATCGGAATTCGGTACATGGGTACATGGTACAGGCTAAGCTGTGACCAGGATTGAAACGTTGAATCCTTTAGTAGCTGCGAGTTTAAATAACTTGACAATGACAACATCCCAAAAACATCGCAGTTTTGTTTCAGAACCAATTTCTGAAAAGGTTGTAGAAGAGCTACCAGGTATCGGTGAAAAACTTGGAGAAAGACTCAAAGCTAAAGGGTATGACAAAGCGTATGTCGTCCTGGGACAGTTCCTTCTTTTGAGGTGCGAAGAAGAGTTATTCAAGGAGTGGCTTTCACAAACATGTGGTGCTAATTCAAAACAATCCGGAGATTGTTACACTGCTCTCAAAGACTGGTGTAGTTGTTTCATTTTCTAACTAGTCTACACGAACAAGATTATGTAACGTTGTTATACCCATTTTATTTTTTTCACATACATTTTGTTAATATTTGTCTTAAAAACTTATGCATTGAAGTATCCAGTGCAATATATTGTATTAATAACTTGACTTCCTAGACTCTTTAGTTGAATTGCAGTAACCAAATTGGTTATTATTCTTGTAGTGATTAACTCAAATAACGGCCCTCATACATCAGTTGGTCCGGACTTTCACCTTCGTTCATCAAAGTTTTTCGTCACTGTGCGTCTGTGGAAATTTTTTGTGGGATCGTAGGCCGATCGTGAAATAACGTATCGTAATGACCCATATGAACTTGTATAGATAAACAAAGTAGGGGGTCACATATGTTATGTCAAAGTGGGTAACCAGTGATTTCCCCTCGCTACTATCAGATTTTTTTTTAACTTCAAGTGATGGTTTTGTTGCAGATGAGTTAAGAGAATATGATCGTGGGGTATTGTGCTAGTCAGTCATATGCAACGTAGGACCTGACACTTGCGTAGTCTCAAGTTGCCACGCTCTGGTGGCATACTTATACGATTATCAAAACAAATCCCAGAGTGGTGGACGTAACCACAGTATCAGTGGTGGTAGGAAAGATGAGATATCAGGATCTATGTATTAACAGTTGATAATCAGTGAGTGCACCTGCGCTATCGCAAACGAACCTGAGTCATACTATCGAAACCCCCTAACCATAAGTTGTAGGTGTAAATTTCCTCAGTTTCAAACGGATAAAGTAATTAAACTAGATGGATAAGTAAATCTTAACAAGGACCAGTTTTCGTGTTTCATATGATTCAGTGCCACGTCATTATATATAGAATAAAGTACTTCGTTGTGCTATTTCGATGTAACAAAATTGGTATTATCTGTATGTCTGTGTTTGGGAAAGACACTGGTTTCGGTTTTAATACGGTGTAATTATGTGTAGAATGCTGACTTGAGCTTATTACGCCAAGATTGTCTTGAACGACTAAATGTTACTACAGCAAGGATAGTATGTTCTCTAACCTACCGCCAACATGTTGGATGATTACTGATTGTTGTGGTTTCAGCCCTCTGTAATTGCGAAAACAACTACAGCGAGCTTGTATATATTCGTTGAATCTTGTGATTCTTAACAGGTCAGCTACGTGTTCAATTGTATTCGGTTGACTGATCGGCGTCCAACAGTTAGAAGTGTTTTCTATTCTTTGCTTCTTCTATAAGTCTCTGTTGCATCTACGCCAATGGCGTAAAAAGTATTGCCGAATAAAGTTCAAGTAAGA